CTCAAAAAGGAAGGGATTTACTTTAAAGATACTTTCTCCCTAGTTTCATTGAAAGACTATTTTAGGACAATCATGACTCTTGTTGCATATTATGATTTGGAACTCCATCAAATGGATGTCAAGACGACTTTTCTCAATGGAAACATTGATGAAACAATCTATATGGTGCAACCAGAAAACTTTATGTCGGGAGACTCAAAGAATATGGTTTGCAAATTAACAAAATCCATTTATGGACTAAAACGGGCATCTCGTTAGTGGTACCACAAGTTTCATGAAGTAATTCTCTAATTTGGTTTTAAGGTGAATGTTGTTGAAGATTGTGTGTATCACAAATTCAGTGGGAGCAAGTACATTTTCCTAGTCCTATATGTTGATGACATATTGATTTCCACAAATGATATAGGCATCATTCATGAAACCAAGAAATTTTTCTCAAGAACATTTGAAATGAAAGATATTGGTGACGCCTCCTTTGTATTAGGAATTCAGATACATCGAGACCGGTCTCGTGGTATTTTAGGATTATTATAAATGTGCTATATTGAAAAGGTGCTTAAAAGGTTTGGCATGCAGAAATTTAAATCAGGAGATACTCCAATTGCTAAGGGAGATAAATTCAGTCTCAGTCAGTGCCCAAAAGGAAACTTAGAAATTCAAGAAATGGAAAAGATTCCTTATGCGTCAGCAGTAGGGAGTCTGATGTATGCCTAAGTGTATACGCGTTCGGATATTGCATTCATAATTGGGATGTTAGGCAGATATTTGAACAATCCAGGAATGAATCATTGGAAAGCATTCAAAAAGGTTATGAGGTATTTAAAGAGAACAAAAGATTATATGCTCACATATAGACAGTCAGACCAGTTAGAGATCACTGAATACTCTGACTTAAATTTTGCTAGATGCCAAAACAGTAAAAGATCCGCTTCAGGCTATATCTACATGTTGACTGGTGGAGCAGTTTCTTGGCGCAGTGCTAAGAAAACTCTTACAGCTTCATCAACCATGACAACAAAGTTAATAGCATGTTTTTAGGCATTCAACCATGGAATTTGGCTGAGGAATCTTGTTGTTGGGCTGCGAATTGTGGAAGGAATTGAAAGACCACTTAAGTTATACTCTGGAAACAAAATTCCAACAATAATAGGAGCTCAACCAAATCAAAACATGTTGACATCAAATTCCTAGTTGTTAAGGAAAGGATACAAAAATGGACAGATTTAATATAACACTTGGAGACTGTAGCACCCCAAAATTTGCCCGACCTTTTTCTTGGCCGGCTTATGTTTTTTTGCATTTTTTGCATTACATTCCTGCATTTACATAGCATTTGTCCTCGAGGCAGGGGATCAAGGTTCTTGTGGCTCAGGTTTCATTCACGTGCAAGCAACAGAACAATGAACAGCGAGCATCAGAGGCTCAGACATTTATCTTGCCCAGCGGTCAGGCGATCGATTTTATCTTGTAGGTTAATTTCAAATCAGGATCAGTATTCAGGCTCATGCCCAGCATTTTCACAGTAATAACGGTAAAAAATGAGGTTCAGCAGCTAAACAGAGCTCCAGACAGTGGAAACAGGGCAAATGGGCAGGTTTCCCACCAAAAGGCGCCAGAATTCAAAATTTGAAGGTGTTAATCGGTTAACCTATATGGTTAATCGATTAACCAAAGGAAAAGTAGCCCAGATTGGAAGTTTTAACAGTGTTAACCGGTTAACGCATATGGTTAACCAGTTAACCATAGCAGATTTTGCCCTGTACGTGATTTTGCAAGCCAATTGCGCTTGGGGTCCAATTTTGATCACCTTGGAATTCAAATTTTCACTTGGGAAGGATCTAGAACACCTTTAAAATTCAGATTTCCCTCTAAAATCCCATTTCACATTCCAAGCCTTGATTTTTAATCCAAATTCCAATCCTAGCTTTGGATCCAAACCAAGAGAGTATTTAAGTGATCCACTCCAAACCAACACATTCTAACCTTCATTTTTCACTCTCACTTCAGATTTGATCTCAATTTTCTCTCAAATTCTCTCAACTCCTCCATTTCCAAAACTCACTCAAAGCTCTTTTTCATTGGAATTCTTGATTCTTCATTGGAATCAATGGATTCTTGAGCATAAACCTCAATTTACCATCATCATTGAATCAATTTTCATCTTCAATTTTCGTGCAAGCTTGGATCTGAATCTGGAGTTGGATCTAAAAATGATTATTTGAAGATTTTGACTCAAAATTGGTGGATCTTCATTCATACAACAACAATTATTGTGGATCTTGAAGTTTTCTGAATTTCTAGCATTTGATCTGCTCAAATTCATTTAATCAACATTTACCGAAGCAAATCTCCGCTTCGAAGGTTGGAATTCTCGATTCGATTTAATTTTCGAGCTTATCATGTTAATCTTCATATTCGATTGAATTTTGTTGATTTCGATTCGTTCGATTTGTGATGTTGTTGTGTAATTGTGTATCCATGTTGTTGGATCTCTGTTTTCTGTTGTCAATTTCGTGCTTAATTGATAAGTTGATCTGTTGTAACCATGAATAAGTTGTTTCTGTGTTGGAAGTGATTTTATGTTGTTGTTTTTAACTTCTGGTGCAGTGTTAATCGGTTAACCAATTCAAATTTTCAAAAAAATTTCAAACGTTAACAGTGTTAATCGGTTAACGCATATGGTTAACCGATTAACCTGTTCAAAACTTCATATTTTTCACACTTTTTAAGGTGTTAACCGATTAACAGTATGTGTTAACCGATTAACATTGTGCCAAAATGTCATATTTGCTATTTTGCTTGCATGTTTGCATACCGATTTGATCTGAATCATCATAGATCAGTGTGATGCATTAAGATTGAATTGTTTTGAATAATTGTCACTGTTTGTGGTTGTTTAATCATGATTTTGTTAACATGTGTTCATTCTTCCATTTGTTTGCATGCTCGTGTATGTGGTTCGAATCGAGTTTTCGTTTGCATGTTCATTTGCTTTCACCTCTTGCTTTTCTCCAGATGTTTGCATCATTCTTGCATCGCTGCTGAGGTCGAGACGCGCTTGTGGCGGGTGCTGCCCCGCGCACTTTTCCTCCCTCCCACCATTCTAGATGTGCATTTTTCATGTTTGCATTTTCTACTTGTGATTGATCCTTCCTTTGTTCTTCTTGTGCTTTCTTGCCATGATCCCCATAGGATTCCTAGTCCCTCCGTTTAGGATGAGAGTGGGAGAGACATTAGGGTGCTCAATCCAAGTATGCTAACATTAGGGTAGATGTTTCCCCTTTTCATCCGAACTTTAGGATCACTTTGCATTACAACGTTAGGGCCGAGTTTCCCTTAGACCTTCTTTGCGTCTCTCTTCTCATCTCAAAATCATGTTAACTCATTTAATAAAGGCGATAAACGTTGCGCGCTACGAGCCTTAAACTATATGGGGAATGATGAGTGAGGAGTCTCCTCTCGCTTATCTAGAGTGTTTAGTATACGTCTCGTTTGGGGGCGATATACGACGCATTCGCCTCCATGTCATAGTCTTTAGTGCAACGTGAATCACAAACCGAATTAATTCACTTCATTAAAAAAACACAAAACAAAACTCAAACTTTTTTTTCTTCGGGATTAATCGGAAACTTTTTTTCAGAAAAGAGTGTTGTTAAGCTTCGGTTTTATCGCAAACAGGCTTGGTCCCTAACTGCTGGAACGGATGTTTAACCTTACTCGGTTAAAACACTTAATCAGCCCGTGGTTTCGTGTCCGCCCGAACTACGTTTGCTCTGATCTTTCATACCAGATGAAAGTACGTAGGCACAAGATGCGATGTCTTAGCAAGCAATCTTCCCCCTTTCTCCCGTAGTTAGCCGAACTACGTTGACTCTGATTTCTCGTACCAGACGGGAATACGTAGGCCCAGAGCAGCGATGCTCTGTCAAGTCCTTTCTTTTTCTTTTATCCCTTGACCTCTAGCGTAGATAGATTGATCACCCTTTTAGATAGACAACAATGCGTGGATCCTGTCGAGTACGACAGACGTGAAGGGTGTTAATACCTTCCCCTTGCGTAACCGACTCCCGAATCCAGAACTTGGTTGCGATGACCTTGTCTTTTCCCGTTTCGTCAGATTTTTTCGATCGTTTCCTAACCGACTCCCGAATCCAGAACTTGGTTGCGATGACCTTGTTTTTTCCCTTTTCGTCAGATTTTTCCGATCGTTTCCTTTCCCTCTCTGTGGGATAAATAACGAAAGGTGACGACTTTTCTGTTTTCCGCCGGGTGTTTTTCGCAGTTGCGACAGAGACAATAAACAGAGGAATGTAAAATAGCACCCAACATCTTAACCTGATTTTGGTCTATACTACAAAACTATCCCTAACATCTTAACTTGATTTTGGTCTACACTACAAAACTATCCCAACATCTTAACCTGATTTTGGTCTACACTACAAAACTATTTTGTTAGCTTAAAAGAACCAAATCCACGTGCAACACATTTAAAGGATTATCACAAAACAGATTTTTAAATCTGATTAGCTTTTGCAAAACAAAAATCCAGATTAAGTCAAACATTTAAAAAGGCTTAATATTATCAATTTAAAAAATAGATCCAATTCATAATTAGTTACTTCCGCCCCTGTTAGTGTTAACATCTAATCTAATAAAAGAAAAAAGTAACCGTCGTCCCAAGACAAAAAGTCATTCACCAAAACACAACCAGGTATGGGCTTTTCGGTTACAGCAATGCATCGAAAGTATATGTGGAATGCTATGTGGAAGCTTCCATGAAAGGAATGTACAAGATAATCAGATTGCAATAGCAAGTTACTCAAGCCAAATGCTGCTGAAACATGACAACGGTCGACCAATGTCACCGTTGCTACATTAAGAAATGGTGGGACTGGTTTGATACTAATAACTAATAACTACCAACTGCCATTCTGTGACATAAAATTGAAGAAATCAGCATAAATACACAAGAGGGGAGAAAATATTTTTAAAAAATCCAATTATAAGAGAGGTTCAGAAAGCTCCATTTCGTTAGAAGCTGTATGCTGTTGTGTATCAGACCGTTGCTGAATTCCAACAAAGTCCATACCAAGCCATTGCCATGGCCAGCACACATATCGAGGCCTATTTCGGCCCCTCGAGTCTTCTCTGTTCTCAAACTCTTCGAGCTGATGAGTGAGCTCCTCCACCCTGTCCCTTAGTCTAGAAGACCTCAAGTCTGCCAGCTTGAGAGATTTCTCTGCTGCATCTCTGGCTGCCATGGCAGCAGCTGCTGTTTCTTCTTTGAATTTCAATTTCTTCTCTGATTCCAACATGGATTGCTTTGCCTCTTCAAGTTCTTGCTTAAGTGTTGACAGCTGCACAATAGCAACCAGCGTTTATGATTAGGAAAATTAATGTTAAATAACAACAGAGGGAAGAGTGAAAATATCCATCAACAGGTGACTTTTTGTAATCTCATCATAAAATAATCTACTGTAATTACAGCCTTATTAGTTAACCCCCAAGCAGCACATGCCAACCAACCCCAAAAAAGATACAGCAGGATGATAACCTACACAGTACATAAATGAGCTAAAAAAAACAAAATGAATAGTATGGCATATCATCAATTAAAGTCATAGTCTAGAGTATAGACCAAGAACCACCATCATTCTCAGGTGTAATTAACAATGAGAAATACTGAGGATGAAGGGATCTGTTGAGCTGGTTGTGAGTAAGATGACATGGCTGCTTCAAAGAGGAGCTAGAATAAGGAATGTAAATGAGTTGAGCCAGCCATCGCAGAGTGCTTTAAGTTTAGACTTGACTAGCTAAAGATAAATGTTGCTCAAACTTCAACTCATTTATTCACGGAAGCCACATTTAAGCACTCGGCTTGACTTGTTTAAAAATTTGAAGCTTGAGCTTGGTTCATTTAAATTGTTTATGGCTTGACTTTTTGTCCTTATTTATCTATTTATTGATTGATGACAGTAATTGTGCATAGCTGGTGGACTTATTAGTCCTAAGTGTTGAAGGTTGTTGGTTCGACCCTCCTTGGCTACAAAATTAAAATTCTGCCTATGTTAGCTTTGCTATGTATAGTCGGTCCAAAGTCCGGATAATAGGAGAGAATTTTGTTAGGCAATCAACAACCAATGTAAAACTTTGTCGAATCTCTATGATATGGATTAACTACGAGATAATGTGAATGCTAAAGCTTTGCCTGTAAACGAAGTGTTGTATGGTTCGAGTACAATGTCAAAAGAGCAAGAGCCGCTGCATCGTCACCTGGATGCAATGAAAAATATGCAAGGGTTTCCACATTCTTATGAACGGGTTGTGTGGATAAAGAAGTTAGTTCATGAAAGTAGGATTCATTTTGGATCATGAAATATAAGCAAACTCACTGAAAAATCTATGGATATCGTGGACGCTAGGGTTAGAAAGAAGATCAATTTCATGTGCCTACAAGAAATTTAGACAGCTGAAAAGACAAGAATTTAAGCTTTGGTTCACCAAACAAATTATATCAAGGAATGGGGTGGGAATTATTGTGGACAATGAGTGGAAGAAAGATATTGTGGATGTGAAAAGAATGAGAGATAAAATCACAACCTTGAAATTTATACTGTAACAAGACACCTTTAATGTTATTATTGCTTAGACACCTCAAATGCTAGGTTGGCAGAACACTAAAAAGATTCCACCAAATAAACAAAATTATACAAATAACTAAAAAGAATAACATGAACATAATTTTTTTTTAATTAATAAAAAACCACATCCAAAATTTCAACGCATCTTGAGCAAGTCCAACATCCAAATCATCTTCATCTTCAATTCCTTCTCTCCATCATTTTGATTGCCATCTTCCAAATCTCCACTTTCAATTGTGAAATCCAAAATATCATCATCTAATGAACCTTGATCATTGTCCACGATCCACTCATCTTCCGATTCAATTTTCTTTGTCAACTTTGAATTTGTCATTACGAACACAACACCATTAATTGTTTTTTTTGCTTCAAGCGGTTTCTTCTCTTTGTGATTGGAGTGTCTTTGAAATGCCTTTGAAATGGTCCATACAAAGAAGAAACCGCTTGAAGCAAAAAACAATGAATAATGTTGTGTTTATAATGAAAAATTCAAAGAAAACTAGAAAGGTGATAGAATATAGCATTGATGAAATTGAATCGGATGATGAGTGGATCGTGGACAATGATCAAGGTTCATTAAATGAGATATTTTGGATTTCACAATTGAAAGTGGAGATTTAGAAGTTGGCAATCAAGATGATTTGGAGGTTTACAACCATGAAGATGAAGATGATGGAGGAGATGAAGATGACTTAGACGTTGGACTTGCTCAGGATGAGTTGAATGATTTGTTAAATTGAAGTTTATGTATAGGATTTATGATTTGGAATTTTAGATGTGGTTTATGACTTAGAATTTTGGAATTTTGGATGTGGTTTATTATTAATTAAAAAAAACATGTTTGTTATTTTTTTTAGTTATTTTTATAATTTTGTTTATTTGGTAGGATCTTACAATCAAATTTACGATTCACGCTTTTTTCATACCCAACGATCTTTAGTGGGATCCTGACTTTGACAACCATGGATACAACACTACACTGAATTGTATGTATATGGTTCTATTAACTACTTTGATTTATAGCAACAACAACAAAAGTTCCAGAACACCATAGACCTAAAGAGAAAGGGTAAGATATTGACTGTACGAATTCCAATGATCAAATTGACAGAAACATGGAATCACTAGCAACAACAAATTTTGCAATTCTTTCAATTTACCATTGCACAACTAAAGCTAAACTACATCACAAATTGGCAATAAACAAATTGTACATTAAATATAAATGCATTCAACTCTAAGAATACATGAGCATTATTGAAAAAATATTAAAATAAAATAGAGAAAAGAAAAAAGCAATCAGATGCAATTTAAAAACTATTCAGTTACACTATCCAAGTAAAGCAAACATGCTAAAAAAGTACTATTGCCAACAGATAGCATTCCATACCTGTGCCACAAATTCTTGTTCAACACCTGTGCCTGCAGCAGCTTCTTGCTCTGCTGCCACTTTCCATCTGTTAATTTCTTCTTCAGCAGCCGCAATGTCCATCATTAGCCCTTCAATCTGCATTACAATGAGTCCAATTGAATCTTAGAGATGGAAAAGTATTGAAATCAAAGATTCAAATGACTCTCACAGATTACCCACAGCCTAGAACTACACAACAAAATCTGCACTCTAAAAAATATAAAAGTCGATAAAACCTTCAGTTAAGGAGCTATATCAAACTAACTAGCAAACATGATTACACTTACATTTTCATTTGCCACTCTTTCCTTCTCTTCAAGTTCCTCTACCCGGTGCATTCTATGGTCAAGTTCTTTGGCCTGAGCTTCAATGTGCTGCTTAAGTAAACTCAACTCTGCCCTTAATTTAGTTAAGCAATATGCAAAGAAAAAAATTATAACGTCAGCACAGCTCAATACGGCTAATATGTAAGTTCTTCAGTGCGGAATGAGCACGATCTCCAAAGCTAGACACATTGCAAACAAATGTGCACTTGATTCAAATGTCAAGTACCTTAATTCATTTACAGTATACTGCAGCTCAATGATCTCAAGCTGAGATGCCTTAACAACATCCTCCAGAGCACCAGCCTGCACAATGGATGCATAAAAAACTCAACAAGGTATCTTCAAGATGCAAACATAGACGAGAACAACAAGTTTCATTGAAAACCAGAAAGAGAAATAATTTTTTTACCAAAGAGTATATTTCATCCTCTTCTTTTGAGGCTTCAAGCTTTTCATCTCCAAGAAGCTTACTAAATTTGAAATCTATCCCAGCTTCCCTCAACCCATTTTCCGCGGCTAAAAACAGCTCACTTTTCTTAGAAGACGGATCAGATGTCATCCTCTTTGACAAAGCACTCCTAAGCAAAGAACCAATTTGATCCTTTTCCTTAACTAACCTATTCACAGTCTCATTTAAACTCTTGATCTCACTATTCTTCTCCTCAACCACATCCCTAACTTTTTGAACAACAATCCTAGTCAACTCATGTATGGATTCCATTCCAGCTAAAGATGCACGTATATTCTCTCCAATCTCTGTTTCTTGCGGTACAAACAAAGATTCAGACAGTTCCGAATTACCAGCATCATCAATGATCTTATAAACACTGCAAATCTGGTTGTGTATCTTGGACACAAAGCTCAACTGATCAATCAACAAAGGCCTCAATGATTCCATACTGGATTCTAAATTACTCAACTTGTCTTCATACTCACTAACGAGCTCCTTCAACTGCAAACCCTCACTCTCTTCCTGCCTTAAACTCTCAGAAACCTCATCCAACTTCTCATCCCTAATAGCCAAATCCCTCTCCAAACCCTCCACAAGAGAGGTTTTCTTTGCAACCTCATCCCTCAAGTCACTGATGGTTGCTTCCAACTGAGAAACCTCAATCGCAATCTCGTAATTCCTCTGCTCCACCTGTTCCCTAGCTTGGTCCCTAGACTTAACACTTGCATCATTCTGTTTCAACAACTCTTCAACAATCTCATTCGCCCTCTTTATAACACCATAAGTCACCGCGGCCATGCCAGTATATTTCTGCGACCGCGGCAACGCACTTCCACTGCCTCCAAAACCGTTCACTTTGGCGGAAATCTTCTCAATTCCAGTAACCATCATATGACTCGATTTCTCAATCTCCGATCGCAACGATTGCCGCTCCATCGCAGACTCTTCTAGCTGCTTCGCCGCCTCTTCCTTCTCCCGAACAGCCTCATCCCGCAGCCGGCCAAACTCGTCCCGTTTCCTTATAGCCTCTTGAGCCAGCACCTTCAATCGGTTGAAAGAAGTCTGTAACTCCGACTTCGCTTTCTCAGCAGCGAGCCGCGCCTGCTTTTCCCGATCAAGCTCAGCGAGAATCTCGCGGAGTCTTTCAACAGACACGTCATCCGAGGTTTGAGAATTAGTTATAATCGGAATCGGATCACCGCCGTCGTCCTCGACGTCGCTGAGCACCGCATCGGCATCCACGTCGCCGGCGCCAGCCATTTAATTGAACAGCATGTAATATTTGATAAACCCTAAAAATAGGAGAGGCTCGAGAAATTGAGATGAATATGAATTGGGAAGTAATCGAATGTAATTGTTAGGTGAATGAAGAAGAAACGTACCAACCAGTCTCTGAAGAATTTGGGATTGAGAAATTCTCAATTTTAATTTTTGTTTCCCGATTCGAAAAATTAAAAACAGTGGCGCTACGGTGGTAATTTTAAAATAAAATTGAGTAGTTAATGTAAAAAAATTATAGAGAAGATGAAAAAAAGGTGTGTTTTGCGGCGATGTGATTTTTGTTTTTGTTTTGGAGTGGGGAAGTGATGATGGTATTGTGGGCGTGAGCGCAGGGGATTGATTTGGATGAGGAAGAGAGAAGGAAGGAAACTTCGTTTAGAAGGCAGAGAGATGAGAATAAAAACAAGAGATGGAGACAGTGGTGCTGATGAAAGAGATGAATTGAAGCGAAACAGACCGTGTGAGTGAGGAGGGGGCTTCTAACAGATTTGGTTTAGACGCCACGGAACGCATAAATAAACTTTTGATCGTAATTTTTAATAACAGATTGTATTGTTTAGAAAGCAACATAACAAACAAAGAGCTTAATTTAATTTTCGTTGTTTCCAGTTTTTTCTCGTTGATAAAATAAATTATTGTTTTTGTTATAACAGATTATTATTTTTTTTATTATAATTATATAATTATAATAGCTTCTTTTTTTATGATCCAAAATTTCATTACACAGTATTTCCATCGTTGCTCTAGAAACTTTGTCTCCTCCATTATTTATTATTTTTACCATTTTCAAACTATCCATCTCAAAAACTAACTTTTGGATAATCGCTCTGAATCACTTTATCAATAACGATTTTCATTACTAGGGTTTTTTTATTTAAAGGGTTGTTATCTCTGATTCTTCTATTGAAGTAAGCTTCCAAAACATTCTCTTCTTTATCACGAAAGATAGCCCTTAACCCCTAGTATCCTTTTTGAATCAAACTCACGTCTGTGTTATGTTACATTTGATCCAACCGAGATTATGAGGTTTCCAGTTGCTAATACCTTTATTGATGGCTTCCTTCTCCTTTTGATTCAAGTATTTTATCACTTCGTCATGATTGTTAATGTTAGGGTTTTTATTAGAATCGTAGATCTTAATATCGATGTTGTTCCTTTTGTGCATGTTAAGGCTCGAACCTTGTCTCTCCTTCATGGTGCTCATACTCAGCAGTATGTACTCTTCTTCCATCCTCTCTTTCTTCTTATCACTTTTATCATTGGGTTTATTTGAGTTATTGTTATTTCTAAAGGAAGAAGTATTATTAAGATTCCTATGGGTTACCTTTGCTATGATTAGAGGTGGGGCTAAGCTCAACAACCAACTTATGCTCTGAAGTTAAATCTTTCTTCATTTTATCTTTCTGATTACGTATGTAGTTCTTTATTTGTAATATTTAATCTTCTGTTAATTTTAGTATTCTCAAGCTCTTTGTCTTTCTTTCCGTTCTCCCTTTGCCATCTATTATACAGATAAGTCTTCACACGTTCATTACTTTGAGTGAGTCGCTTCTTATTAAAATTGCTAACTAAGCCTTCTTGATTATTTCCGATTTCAGGTCTCTCATTCTAAAAAGTGTTCAAGGAGTTGGTCCTTTTGTTGGCATCTTTGAAGTTCTTCATTGTCTGGAAAGTTGTATTTATGGTCTTTTCAACAGACATGTGTCTTTCTTCAAAAATAACTAAATTCCTAACCCTTCGTAAACTATCAACTATATTGATGAAAAGGTCTAGAATTTCTTTACTCGTCATAGGGATGTTGTCTTTGGTCCAATCCACAAAGTTTTAATTGTTACTAGCTGAGAAATTTAAGTTTAGTTGAGAGCCAAACCAAGTGAGTTGAGCCTCATTGCATCTCACAAAGTTATGATCTATGGATTCCATCCTGCTATTAAATCTAGGACAAAAAGAGTCACACTTCACCTCTCTCTTATTAAGCTTATCATTAGTAGGAAGAATGTCATTAATCAATCTCCAAACTAGGATTTTTTGTTTGGGGTAACTTGGCTACTCCAAAATTTCTTCCAAAGATCCTTGTCCCCCTTATGATTAGAGGTGTCATCCATTATTTTCTCTTTCCAATCTTTAATTAAGTAGTATCCATATTTCACACTATAATGACCATTTTTATTAGCAGGTCATCCTAGGGTATCTTCCCCTTCAAGGTTGTTCAAAGGCATTTTAGAGATTATATCTCTATCCACAAGGAATGTTTTGTTAATGACATTCTAGCTCCAACAACCAAGAGCCCTATCCATGAGGTCCCTAACTTCATTTGCCCTTGTAACCAAGGGCTTTTGTGTTAGGACTTTAAACTCACATTGATTAGGGATCCAATTATCTTCTCATATGTTGATTTTAGAACCATTTCCTATATTCCATATTTTGTCCTTCTTACTGATCCAAATAATTGTTGGATACTTCTCCATAAAAAAACTAGGATTTCTACCAATCTTAGCTTAAAGGATGTCACTTTTAGAATAGTACTTATCTTTAAACAGCTTGGCCACCAGAGTATTAGGTTTAGTGAACATTCTTCACACTTGTTTAGCCAACATAACCTTGTTGAAATCATGAATACACTTGAATCCTAGCCCACCTTCCAGTTTATACTTACATAGGTTTTGTCATTTACACCAGTGTATATTATTGCCAGGTTGAGAATAACCCCACCAAAAATTAGCTATCAAACTGTCTATTTTTTGACAAATACCTTTAAGGATCATAAAAGATGTTATAACATATGCAGGAATAGCTTGGGTTACAACTTTAATAAGAGTAGCCCTACCAGCAAAAAATAAATTATTAGCTTTCCAAATATTTAAATTTTTCCTCATTATTTCCACCAGAAAATTAAAGCATTGATTCTTAACTTGACCTACATGAGTGGGGAGACCCAAATAGTTCTTTATTTTATCCTCTATAAGAATACCAAACACTTTAGAGAAGTGGTCTTTAGTTTTTTGAGGTGTGTTAGAACTAGACATCATCTCAGATTTAGTAAGGTTGATCTTCTGTCCATATATTTCTGGGTAGGTATTGATGATTTCTAAAAGTTTATTGGAATATTTATCCTCTTCCTTGTAGAATATGAGACTATGATCTGCAAAAAATAGATGAGTAATCTTAAGAGCCTTTTTAGATACATATATACCTGATACGTCCTTAGATTTTTGACCTTTTTGAATAAAATCAGAGAGAACGTCAACACAAATAACAAAAAAATAGGGAGAAAGAAGATCCCCTTGTCTTATTCCCCTATTAAGAGTGATATTATGTAAAGGGTAGCCATTGATCAAGATAGACATAGTCACATTGTTGATACACTGCAAAATAGTGTAAGTAATCTTAGTAGGGAAGCCAAAATTACCTTATCTTTTGGCTTGTGACGAAATATAGTTGTGTCATTCATTATACTTTATATTATATCAAAATTTATGAAAATTGTCTTTCTCATTTCATCTGGATATTATAATTCGAATGTGCCTCGTTCTGGAATCAGAATTGATGTATGTTGATGGTGAGAAATTTTAAATATGTGGTGCTAATCTCTGATAAGTCGGCGCAGGGTGGACCTGCAAGGTTAGCACACCAACACCCAAGTTAATTCAAAATTTAACATGAGTGTTGTAAAAAGTGGAGATTAGAAAGTGTACCTTAAGTATCATGTGTGAAAGCTTTTATATGTTGGGTCATTTAGAGTGGATTTACATTAGAATGGGCATTAACTGAAGGGGTGAGAAACACAAGAAATGGGGGTTTGAATTGGGTTTCACCAATTATGAACTTTTATGTAGAATTTAAAACAATGTTAACAAGAGAAATAAAAATAAATAGACATGATTATTTTTATCCTAATTCATTGTTAACAAAATTACTCCAGTCTACCGATCAAGGTGATTTCACCTTAGACAAAAACTTAATTCAATAATCTCAACAGATTACAACAATACAACTTAGACTAATCGTCCTTGTTGCAAACTACAATTGATAACCTCCATTATCTTCTTGGGAATTCTGACTATACCCTACTCTCTCAAGGAACATTCAACCATTGTTAATTACAAGATTTTGCATGAAGAGATGCTTCTAGATAAGCATATTACACAAGTTTAAGTTCAAAACACAAAAGTGTTTCTAGCAAGATATGAGCAATAACTCCTTGCTAAATTACAAAACTATCTTAAGAATAATCTCCTAGATATTTGCATCGTATCAGCATAAGCTTTATGAGCTTGATAGCTTCTTTTAATGCTTCTCTCATTTCATAAAGAGCAGCGCTCTAATTTGGTTGAGCATTGAGCATTTTCTTCTCGAGCTTATAACTTGGTGTTTGCTTCCGCCTTGCACATATACTGTCATGTTTTATTCAGCTCTTTAACATCTTATTCTAGTTACTCTCTCTTGGTTCTCTTTTCTACTCTTGCAGCATTTTTCACTTCGGCATTTAGTATTTTCATTAGGCTCGCAGCAGCAGCATTGCGCTTGACACTTTTGCAGCTTTGGCAGCTTGTAAGCAATACAAGCAGCTTATTCTTCAAGTTTTCAGATCTTTAATAAATAGGACTTGAGAATAGATCCATTGGAGGGTATAATAGGAAACATGAAATTCTGGTATACAGATCTCAGATTTCGGAAGAGATGCCGAGACATTGATCTTTGCATAACAAATAAGGACAACAAAACACAACAGGACAATCTAATATCTCAAAGTCATAACAGTGTAATGAAAGATGTTTCAACATCTGTTTTGACATGTATTTTAGAGCAAGAGAAAGACGGAAATATTCATAACAAAATAAGAAATGACTCTAAGATATGATGACCCAGTTTGGTGTACAACAACACCTACATCTGGAGGCTACCAAGCCAAGAATGAATTCACTATTAGTAGTATTAATTCAGAGCTAAACTCCCTCGTTTACAACCCCTCGCTTAAT